GCCACCCAGGTGCCCAGTATACTAAATACTTTAAAGTAATCTCAGCAAAATCCAGGATTTAGGATGATTGAGTGGGAAGCAATGAAAAAATAGATAAAAGTACTGTGAAAGTTTCACCTTGGTGCAGAAAAGTTACTCAGTAAAACATCACTATTGGGTTATAACTGTTATATTGAAAAAAAATACAAGTCTACCTGTGTTAACAAGAGAAAGTAACCATTGAAATGCCAGATTAACATGGGGAAAAAGAATAAACAGAAATTCTTCAAGCTGGGAAAAGAAGAAATAAAGAGCAAAATAAATGGAAATTATGAAATTACATAAAGGAGAGAGAGCCACCAGTCTTCATAAGCCGACTTGTAGATGGCAGAGCTTGGTCCCTGTATGTCATTGTTGAGCTGTGGGAAAATGAACTTTGAAGCCCACTCTGTGTCTAAACTTGTAATTTCATGAAATTGTTTTCTTAATTTTTAAGTTACTTTCAATTGATGTTTTTGATTCAGTGGAAAACATCCTAAATATATCTCATTTTGCATATGAGAATACTAATGTTCAGAGAATGAGAACTTGAGAAAATCCCAATAAAATTTTGGAATTTAGCAGACCTGAGAAAATCTTAGAAGTAATCAGTTTAGCAGACCCAAGGAATCTAAATCCTAAGCCATCTGTGCTTGATTTATATCCCAGAATCGCCCAAAGTCTCAGGAAGTGGCACCATCAGATACGGAAATGTGGAGATAAAGTGGAGGAAGTTTAAGATAAAGAGGGTTGGTTGAAAATCCTGTTGATGAAGCAATTTGATTCCCACATCTTTTCCCTCTATCCAAGGTGTCAGGCACTGCCTCTTTCCTATCCCAAGAGAAGAGGGAGGGTTGTTCTCCAGAAAGTGAAACAGAGGCTGTGGCCTAGACACAGTGTTAAGTAGAGGATGGGGTGAGTGCTCACAGGCTCCTATCTCCCTTCACTTGGACAGTCAAGCTTTAATATGCCAAGGAAGAGATCCAAAGAGTCTTATCTGTGGAGGCTGTCTAGCCTAGGAGGAAAGCCCCACAGATGCCAGCAGTGGGGTGTCCTCTGTGAAAGACCTGGCTGGATTACCCAGCATGAAGTCTCATAGTTGTCAGCCACCACCCACACACTCTTGAGTTTCAACTTAGCATGTTTTGTAGGTCACTTTTTTTTCAAAGATTTTATTTGAGAAAGAGAGCACATTGGAGTGGTGGGGAGAAGAACAGGGGGAGGGAGAGGGACAAACAGACTCCATGCTGAACGTGGAGCCTGACATAGGGCTTGATCTCATGACCCTGAGATCATGATCTGAACTGAAACCAAGAGTCAAATTCTTAACTGACCAAGCTACCCCGGCACCCCAGTGCTTTATTCTTAAATATGAGCAGACCTCTAAGGCGCATCAGGCTTCTGAGCAACATGAAAGAAGAGGCCAAAACAAGAAAGACCTCGAGGAAGACAATATATTCTAGAGAAAAATACATAAAAATATACCTGTTGTTAATACCCTGAAGGAGACCAAGATTGCAGTCATGAGGAAGGCTGGGATTCCATAAAAATGGAATATCTAGTGAACAGAAAGGGACACTTGATAATTAGAAATAATGACCTATCCAAAAGACTAGAAGATAAGGAAATTTTTTAAGAAGATAGGTCAAAATGACAAAAATAGGAGAAAAGAATTAATAATATTAGAGAACCAGTTCAGGATATCTAACATCCAACTACTAGGAATTCCAAGTGGGAAGAGGAGAGAAAATTTCTCAGATCTGAAGGATGTAAATTTGGAGATTGGAAGGGCTCACTAGTACCCTGCATCATCCATTGAAGGGGACTCGATGCAAGAACACTGCAAAGATTCCGTACATTTCACAGGACGGGAAGCAGTTCATACGGAGACAGGAAGGACTTTTTCTGACTTTTCAGGAGCAACACCAGAAGCTGCAAGACAGTGGAACGGTGACTTACTCTGAAGGAAAATTAGTTATGACGTAGATTTCCATATTTAACCAAACCATAAGAGCAAAGGTAAAATATCCAGACTCGTGTAGTCTCAAAAATACTATCTCCCGTTCACCCTTTCTTTGCAAGCTGCTGGGGAAGCCATGTGCCACCTAGATGAGAGATTGAAGCAGTGGGAAAGACTGAGTTGGAAATCAGAGATGTGCCACAGGGCCCAGGATGCCAGGGTGCATCAGGCCTAGAGAGAAGCTGATCCAGACCAAGGCAGGTCTCAATGACTCCAGGAGAAATTGCTCCCAGATAATGAAATGAATGGGATAATAGGAATTTAAACACTGATTGAAAAATACATTTGGGAGGAGAGGGTGGCTTCAAGACAGTGATAAGTACATAGAGGACTAAGCAAATGAGAAAAATGACTAATTCTAGGGGTAGAAAAGAATACTATTATGGAAGAAAGGAAAGCTAGTCATAGTTTATTATGTAGGTAAGCAGTGGGTGGCATTTCTTTTGTAATAATGCAGACATCAAATATTGATGTAACCAAGATGTCCAGTAATCCACATTGGGAGAGGGAGGAATGGCCAAGGGTGTGGTTTGGTAGGAAGGCCATAGTTAATACTTAGAGCTGGAAAATCAAGACCCAGCAGCAAAGGAAGCTGTTGATTCAGTGCTAAGAAGACAGATACTGAAAGAATCAGCTAAATGACCTGAAGTGACAGTCTTTGGGAGGAAGGTGGCATGTGTGTAGGTGCCTTGTGCCGGGATGTGGCACTTGGAATTCTGTGCCCATTTCATTTTGATAAAAATAAAATTAAAAAAAATTAAAGTTCAGACAAGCAGTCTGCAAATTTATCAGCTGTTATACAAAGTTATACTGAATGCAAATACTCTATTTGACTAAATGTAAATGGGCTGAATTCCACTGTTAAGGAATAGAGCCTGTCAGATTGGGTTATTCAACTATTTTGCTATAAGCACCCATAGCTCTTTTTTCTTTACTAGAAAAAGCATCTGATTTGGCTTTATTGTTTCTCCTATTTGATCATATCTATGGAACTGCTTGTCAAAGTTCTCTGCCTCCCCTACTCAAGGAATTCGAGCTAGGTCATTAGGACACTGGAAGTTTATTCTTGAACCTAGCAACATAAAGACTGAAAAGTTCATTCTTGATCATAGCAACATGATGATTGAAAATGGTTGGGACTGATGCATCCCAGGTGTAATACTATGAGGAGACAGTCCATCTGTTCCTGCCACCTGGAGCCCCCAGCTGCATGGTTCCTCTCCTTTCCAGGAAAACTGGAAGTTTTCCTACTGGTTCTGTCTCGTAAATTCCTTTTCTTTTTTAACCAGTCAGTCAACTTCAGTTGCTCATAACCAACGAACTCTGATAAGGTTAAACCTCAAATAAGATTCAGCTGATATACACACATATCTATAATTTTAATCTTTCTTTGTCTCTTATTTGCAAGTTTGTAGTAAATCAGTAAGTAACTAAGACAGGTAAAAACAAAAAGGATCATAGAACTGAAGGTCCACAAAACAGATTTTAAGCAGAAAAACATGAAAGACAAAGTGGGTCATTATCTAAGGTTAAAAGGTATGATTCATAAGGTGAGTATAACAGTCTTATAGGAACCTGAAAAACTTAGCAGACAAATACAAATACATAATGGAAAAATTCTTAAAAGTTGAGGAGATCTCAATAAAGGTACATTTGTAGTGGGGAATTTTAATTTACCCATTTCAGAATTTAACAAATAGAGTATGGAGGTATACAAGTCATTATAGAAATAAGTAGAAACCATGAATAGGAAAATCCATGTGTTAAACATCTGGAAAGATGCTCAACCCCATTTAGGGAAGTGCATGTTAAAGTAACAATAAGAAAACATTTTTTCCCCCATCATACTGGCCAAAATTCAAGAATTACAACATCCAGTGCAGGGAAGATATAGGAAGAAAATAGGTACTTTCAAAAGCTATGAATGGAAATGTAAATTATTACAAAATTTCTTTTTTCTTTTTCTTTTTTTTTTTTGAGCGAGAGAGAGTGAGAGAGAGAGCATGTATAGAGGTAACAGCAGAGAGAGGGGAAGGGAGAGAATTCCACACCCAATGCAGAACCTGTCACACATGATCTCATAATCCCGAGATCATGACCTGAGCTGAAATCAAGTGCCCAATGCTTAACTTACTGACCCACCCAGGTGCCCCATTTTAAAAAATTATGATATTTAAATCATTATAATAAATTATAATATTTGGAATAAAGTAACCTTTAAATATCTCTTAACTGTAAATGGTTATAACCTTTGGCTCAGCAATCAGAATTTTGGGAATTTGTCTTACAGAAACAATAGAATTAGAATGTACTGGATATGCATCCAGAAATTTTTGTTGCTTAGTTGTAAGTGGAATAACTCTGAAATAAATTGAAGTGCATCCATACTGTGGAATGTTGGATAATTGAATGTTTCATAACTGAATGTTATTCAGTTGTTAAGGAAGTTGGCACTATCTGTAAACATAGATGTCTGATTATGAAAACAGGCTAAATGTGTCCAATTTAACCCATTCTTATAAAATATGTAGCAGAAATCATGTGTGGTATATATGTATATGTGAATATTTACATGATCATGAAGAAGGATTTGGAATCATCAACTAGGCTGTTGGCCAATTGTGACTCTAGGAGGATGGGATGGAGAAGAAGATCATGAATTTCTTTCACTTTCTATAATAAGCATATGATACTTTTATCATTAATGAAAAATTAACAGATCAAGTAAAAATTTTATCAGAGTAAGGCATTTTCTAGGAAACATGAAGTATTTAATCAGCAAGAACTTGGAAGTCTTAAGTAGTAAAGAAATGGATTTTTCTGTGAATCACAGCAGCATTTGTTTTTAGTCAGTGATCAGAATTTGTCATGTGTTATCTTATATTTTAATTAAATGTGAGGGCTACAAATTCTGTGCTGTTAAGGTTCTGTTCTACTCCTAAAATATGTTTGCTTTTGATAGGACTGTCTTCATCAGTGGATTACAACATAATGGATTTGGAACAAGAACTTGAAAATGTGAAGACTCTTAAGACAAAATTAGGTACTGTACGTTTTTGTTCTTGACTTGTGCACTGGTCTTGGATTCTTTCCATAGACTTTCCTGTAGTCTGAAAGTCAAAAAGTTATGAAATCTTTAGTTTATGGTACAATCTTCCAGTGTATCCAATAGCTATTGGTACAGACTGCCTTTTAGTTTGGGGAGGGGATAAGCATATATGTACTCCCTTTTTTGTTTGTTTTGTACATGCATAAAGTGACTTTTCAGATGCTGATGTTTGGAGATGTCACTCCACTGTCTCTTGACTTGCATTATTTCTGACAAGTAATCTTCTGTCATCCTCATCATTTGAATTGTCCTTTTTCTCTCTCTGCTTTTAAGATGTCCTCTTTGTCATTGACTTTGAACAATTTGATTCAAATGTCCTTTAAAGTGGCTTTCTTTATGCTTCTTATTCTTTGGGTTCACTGAGTCTCTTGGATCTGGGAATTTATAGTTTTCATCTAATTTGAAACATTTTTGGCCATTGTTTTCCTAAATGTTTTTCTTTTTCCTGTGTCCCCCTTTCAGAGGCTCCAGTTACATGTACACTGGCCCAAAACTCATGGATTTTCCTTTATTTTTTGGATGTTTTTCTCAGGATGTTTCATTTTGGATAGTAATTAGTATATCTTCATGTATACTAATCTTTCCTTTTGAGGGTCTAAACAGCATTTAATTCCATCTATTGTATTCTCAAACACTGCAGTTTTTTTTGTTTTGTTTTTAAATAGGCTCCAGGCTGCACTTGGAGCCCAATGTGGGGCCTGAACTCAGGACCCTGAGATCAAGACCTGAGCTCAACTGACTTAACCCAGATGCCCCTCAGACACTGCAGTTTTTATATTTAGAAGTTCTTTTTAGACTGTTTAGTCTGTGTCCTCCACTTTTTAAAAAATATGGAATATAATTATAATAACAGTTTTAATGTTTTTATCTGCTAATTCTAATTTCTGTGTTTAGTTCTTGATAGATTTTGATTGATTGATTTTTCTTATACTTTTATGCATACCTGGCAATTTTAGATTGGAAGGTGGATGCTGAGAATCTTATTGCTGGGCACTGATATTTTTGTATTCCTCTAAGTGTGGAACTTTTTTTCTGGGATGCAGTTAAGTTACTTGGAAACAGTTTGATATTCTTGGGCTTTGCTCTGAAGACTTGTCAGGCTGGGCTAGAGTAGTATTTCCTCTAGGGCCAGTTGTTCTAAGGCAACAATGCTCAGGATTTATGAGGTCTCATTCTTGTCTTGTGGAAGCAGGCCCTATTCTTGGCACTTTATGATGGTTGGATGCTGCTCCATCTAACTTTTTTGGGTGGTCCTTTCTTCAGCTGTGGGTTGTTTGCTCACATACCTGAGCTGATCTTCACTGAAGACTCAACTATGACCCTTTGAAGATCTGTGGAGTTCTTTCTCTGAGGACTTTTGCCTGTGGTACTTTGCTCTATATAGTCCAGCTAACTTGGTCTCTCCACACTCTCATTTTATATCAACTCAAGGAATGAGCAGGGCTGTGGTTGGGTTCCTGTGCCTTGTACTCTGGCCAGCAAACTGTCTCAAGACAGTAAGCAGGGGCAAACCCAGGGGTTGCTTTGTTTGCTTCCCATCTCTCAGAGATCATTGTCTTTCTGTGATTCACAAATGCAGTGTCCTGCAATTGTTTCATATGCGTGTATTTTTTTGTTTCCTAATTATTTCAACTTGCATGGAATATTGGTCCCTATAGTTATTCCATATTCAGAAATGAAGTCCAGTGTTTTGTTATTGAAAATTTATTTATTTTAATTTTTCTTTTTTATTGAAGTGTAATTACCATGCAGTGTTATATTAGTTTCAGGTGTACAGTATAGTGATTCAACAATTCCTTCTATTAGTGCTTGTCCTGATAAGTGTACTCTTAATTCCTTTCACATGTTTCACTCATCCTCTACCCACTTCCCTTCTGCCAATCACCAGTTTTTTCCTCTGTATTTAAGAGTCTGTTTTTTTTTTATTTGTCTTTTATTTGTTTTGTTTCTTAGATTCTACATGTGAGTGAAATCCTATGGTATTTGTTTTTCTCTAACTTACTTCACTTAGCATAGTACACTCTTGCTCTATCCATGTTGCAGATGGCAAGATTTCATTCTTTTTCGTGGCTGAGTAATATCCATGTGTATATGTGTGTACAAATGTATATATATCACATCTTCTTTATCCATTCATCTATGGATGAACACTTGAGTTTTTTCCATGTCTTAGCTATTTTAAATTAATGCTGCAATAAACATTGGGGTGCATATTTCTTTTTGGATTAGTGTTTTGTTTTATTTGGGCAAATACTCAGTATGGGAATTACTGGAGCATTTGGTAATTCTATTTTTAATTTTTGAGGAACCTCCATAGTGTTTTCCATGGTGGCTGCACCAGTTTGTATTCCCACCAACAGTATATATGAGGGCTCCTTTTTCTCTATATCTTTGCCAACACTTGTTATTTCTTGTGTTATTGATTTTAGTTATCCTGACAGGTACCAGGTTATATCTTATTGTGTTTTTTAAAAAAGATTTATTTATTTATTTATTCATGATAGACAGAGGGGGAGGGGGCAGAGACACAGGCAGAGGGAGAAGCAGGCTCCATTCCTGGAGCCCAATGTGGGACTCGGTCCTGGGACTCCAGGAGTGTGCCCTGGGCCAAAGGCAGGCGCCAAACCACTGAGCCACCCAGGGATCCCCTCTTATTGTGGTTTTGATTGCATTTCCCTAATGATGAATGATGTTGAACATCTTTTCATGTGTCTGTGTTGGCCATCTGTTGTTTCTGGAAAAATGTCTATTCAAGTCTCTGTTCATTTTTTAATTCATGTAGGGGTGTAGAAGTTCTTTTTTTTTTAAGATTTTATTTATTTATTCATGAGAGACACAGAAAGAGAGAGAGAGAGGCAGAGACACAGGCAGAGGGAGGAGCAGGCTCCTTGCAGGGAGCTTGATGTGGGACTTGATCCTGGGTCTCCAGGATCACACCCTGGGCTGAAGTCGGCACTAAACAGCTCAGCCACCCGGGCTGCCCTAGAAGTTCTTTATATATTTTGGATATTAACCCTTTGGTGGATATATCCTTTGCACATACCTTCTCCCATTTTATATGGTGCTCTCCTGTTTATTTTTGTGAACGTCATATTGTCTAAAATTACTTTGTTCATTCTGCTGTTGATGGGTACTGGATGTGTTTATCTTTTGTTATGAATGTATTGGTATAAACATTCTTCTGCATATCTCTTGGTATGTATGTTTTTTCAATGTACATACCTGGAGGTGGAATTATTGAGTCTATGGATATACAACTTTTTAAAATAATGCCAAATTGTTTTATCAGGTAGTTGTATTATTTTGCATTTGTTCTGGCTTTAGTGAGACTTCATGTTTCTCCCCATCTTTGTCAACAATTGACGGTGCTGGACTCCATTTTTACCAACTTAGTGGACGTGAAGTGGTTTTCACTGGTGTTTTAATTTGTATGTCTCTGATTTGTGTTGCCAGTGTTTATTCAGCTTCTGCTTGAAAAACATCTGCTAGCATTTCATTTAGTGCTGGTTTGTTGGCAATGAATTCTCTTTTTGTTACCTGAAAACATTTTTACTTACCTTCTCATTGGTAGGGCATTTTTACATAATTTAGAATCCTGATTTGATAGTTTTCAGCATTAAAAAGATGTCTTTCTAGTGTCTTCTGGTTTCTGGTTAAAGTCGTATTGTTGCGCTTTTTTAATGCTTTTAAGATTTTCTTTATGTCTTTGTTTACTAGTTCTACCCTGATGTGCTTAGGTTTGATTTTCTTAGTGTTTATTCTTCTGAGATATGTGGCACTTCATCAATGTGTGACCTAATGTATTTTATCCATTTGGGGACTTTTTGGCCATTGTCTCATCAATTACTGCCTCTACTCATTCTCTTTTAGTTTCTTTAGACCCCAACTGTGCATGTGCTAGACCTTTTCACTCTGTATTGTTTTGAGTTTACCCTCCTTTATTACATTCTTTGATCTGTGATATTTTTTGTTGATGTGTCTTCCATTTTGCTGTCTTTTCAGCTGTGTCATAACTATTGCCCAACTGTCTCTTGAACTCTTTAACTTTAGTTACAGTGATTTTTCAGTTCTAGAATTTCCATTCAGTTATTTTCTAGATTCAAGTTACAACATTTGCCAGCTTGTCACTTATGTTATCAAATATATTAATCAGTTATTTTAAGGCCTCCTTCTGATAAGTTCAATATCTGGGTAAACCGAAAGTCTGTTTCTATCATCTTTTTCGTTTGTGCTTATCTCTAGGGAGCATTCGATGGAGTGTCAGGCATTTCTTACACAGAACTGTAAAAACTCTGGATAATATTTTCTTCTTCTTGAGAGGCTTTACTTTTTCTTCTGGTAGGCAGTTAGAGCAGTTAGATCAATCTTTCCGTCTGGGCTGGTGATCATTCCAGAGTCGGTTTTGGTCTTCTCAAGGGATGGTCGATTTGCAGTTTGGCCTTGCTCCTAGTGTATAGCTTTCTTAAGTGCAAGCCTTCTCTGTGCACCTTGAACTTCAGTTTTCATCTCAAAACATGAACCTCACAGAAGCTTTGCTTCTCTCTTTGCTGTACCTTCTGGTCACTGTGGTCCCTGGTTCCTTGAAGGACAAGAGGCTGAATGTTAGACTCCCTTCTTTCTTCTTTCCTTTTCTCTGGGATCCTAGCCTCTCAGATTTCGGCTGTGTTGGCAGCCCCACACTCCCAATTTTTGTTTTCCTGATGCTGTTGAGTTTGCTGAAAGCATTGCTTTAGCATCATTTTCTTTTATCTACTGATGGTTGCTTGATTTCTCAGCCTCATAGGGCCATGTCAGTCATGTTGGAAAACTGTGTTCAGGGAAAGATAGTGCAAATATGAGGGATCACATCAATCCATTTCACAGAGTATTGACCTCACAGTTTTGTTGTGGAGGCTCTGCGATTCTTTCATGCAGATTTTTTTCTTAGTTAAGTTTGATTTGTTTTTTACTAGTCGTTCATGACGTAAGGATTGTTATGATATCAGGTAGATCACTGTAGCCAGAGGTTTGCTTCCAATCTTTAGAATACTGCAGATATTTATCTTTGGATTAGAGGGGATTTTTACTCATGTTACTTTACTCACTCAAATCTCTATCAATATGTAAATCTATATCAAATACAAATATTTCTATATTTTCATAGTAAGCTGGGTATTAACAGTACATTTGGTTAGCAACTGAAATATCTTTATAGAGCTAAAATGTAAGCATCCTAGGATTGAGCAAAGTGATTTTAAAACTGATCTTTATAGTTTGTGGAAGAAAATTAAAAATAATTTATGTTTTGTGAAAAAGAAGTTTTATAAAAATAATACATACTGGTTGTAGCAGTAAGGAATGAAAATGTGGATCTAGAGATATTTTTGGAAATCTTTTGTTATATTTTGTTTTTTTCCCCTAATAGAAAGGCGAAAAAAAGCTTCAGCATGGGAAAGAAATTTGGTGTATCCTGCTGTTATGGTTCTCCTCCTTATTGAGACAGTAAGAATTTATTTGCCTAGTTAAATAAAACAAATTATTTTTTATTTACTTTGGTATTTGAGTATGACAACTCCCTCAGCTAAATGGTTTCATATAAACTAGTTTTCTATCTACAGGATTAAAATCCATCTATACTTTTATTTGGAAAAACTCAATAGAACAAAAATGGAAATTAATGGCAAGTTTTAGAAAGTCCTCAAGATTAACTATTTCCTCATGAAAGCAGGACATCATTCTTTTGTGCCATTTAGAATTAAGAGATGAGGTATTGCAGGTATCTTGCTTCAAACTCTATGATGGGATATGAAAATTATATTATTAATTAGTTCTGATAACATTTTAACCATTTTTTAAATCTGTGGAGTTGTGGGCTTCCATTTGGTGGAATCTGTCAGTAACTGGATCTATATTATTAGCTTTAGTCACAAGCTTTGAAATTGTAATAATTTGCAGAAGCTTTTAGAGTTTATTCTGGAGTTTTTACAGATAGTTTGATGGCTTTTGTTTTTTTGTGTGTAGAATTTTGGTCTTGTCTTCTCTTCTTCTCTGTTCTGAAGCATATATTTGGTTAGTAACTTAGATTTTAATACATGTGTACTCACAAAATATCTGTGAAATTCAGAACTGATGCTCATTTTTTTATGTTGTAGTCCATCTCGGTCCTCTTGGTGGCTTGTAATATTCTTTGCCTGTTGGTTGATGAAACAGCCATGCCAAAGGGAACAAGGGTAAAGTGCTTTAAATGTCTTTTGCAAAAGTGTTCTCTATATATACCCTGAGTATTTCAAATACATGATTTAAAACATCACCTTTCTGCATGTGTATTTCAGGTTGTATGAATTTCTTTATATAAAGAGCCTTTGTAAACAGTGTTTATAAAACTATGACTTTTGTTTCTAATTTCTTACTTTTGGTTGGCCAGCCTTTTTATCAAATAGCAAAGTTAGACTTTGTATCATAGTTTATTTTTGTTTTACCAAAGTTCATATTTGTAATTCTGTAAGAAAATGTATACTCTGTGAAATAGTGATGTGGAAGGAGTTTATTATTGATTCATAGTGTTTGCAAAAGATCCAAGTATATGGTTAGTAGGGACTGTTTCAAAAGAGTCACATTTTATGAAACGGAGTCAAATGTTTAGGTACTGGAGGAGTCAGATGTACACCTTTTCATGAATTAACTTTGTTTTCTCTCCTGTAAAAGTTGATGATTCTATTAAATCCTATCTTTTAGCCAACTTAAATGTGTTCACCGTACAGGAGGTAGTTATCACTGAAGATTCATATTTGGCATACTTCTGGGAGTGTCTGTAAACTTTTGATTATGAAAGTAGCATTTACATTTTAACATTCTCTTATATTTTTCTAAGTCAGTAGCTTTCTTACTCCCCATAGAAAAGACTTCCGAATTCTTCCAGACTTTTTGGTGCCACTTCTCTCTCTGAACCAGATAATATATAACTTTCTTCTCCTAGGAAAAAGCCAGCATCAACCTAAATTTCTTCCTTTCAGTCCAAGGCGGAGATACTGTATCTCTCACAGCTAATTTTTTTTTCCAGCCATATTCTCTAGTTAGATTCTGCCCTCTTCTAACTTTTGCTGGACCTTGTGCCCTCTGTTACTGCCCAGTGTCTAGCCTACCAACGTGTTCCAGGTGCCTAACTCCTCAAGCAAACAACACTCAACAGTACTCCATCTGCAACCTGGTCTTTATCTTCTGTTTAGACCCAAATTCATTGATAGAGCAGGAAGTCATCTATTGTGTTGGTTTCTATGCTTTTTGTAACCCTCTTTTATACATTGCACACACTGGGTAAGTCCCTATTGGTACATTTTTGTACCATCCTCTTAGTGTATCATAGAGAAGGACTTTTACCTGGTAGAGTCCATGCGTGATTGTGTAAATAAATCAAATCATCCTAATCCTGCCTGGAGGACTTCTCTTGAGACAGGGAATATTTCCAAAATGTTTTTCCCCCAGCCAATAAGCTTTCTATTAGCATTATTCATTTCTATGTCAAAAGATTGATGAAAAGTTGATAATTCTTTGCCTTTGTTTATATATATGTGTGTATATGTATATATATATATATATATATATATGAAATTTCCATGGGTATTCTTACTTTTTTATGTCAAAATTAGAATGTATATATAATATGTATGATATTAATTATAGGCTTATTTTTTTATTGGCCTGACTATAGAGTCTTAATTTTCCTGGTATTTTTGTTCGATATAATTAAAGCTGATAGAATAGTAGTTGATATTTGAATACTTCTTTAATTGGCAGGCTTTGAAAATATTCTTCCTACTAGAAATGTTTTTGCCTGTCTTGTCTCATTAATAAATACTAGGTTTTTTGGTTTTTTAAGTTCTAGATAAAAATAGGTTTTGAGAATACATACAATGTTTAGGAAAAATGTGTAGTGTTACATTAAAAAAAAATCTGTCTTAATTAAGTTATGTCTTTTAAAAACCTCTGAATTCCCAAGGAAGATTTGGGGAAAGAAAACTTTTAACTGTAGAAATGGGATATGCACATTCACTTTCTTTCTATGCTTAGCCTACTCTGATATAGTTTAATTATATAATTTTTGTATATGTTATTGGGAGGGTTCATTTTGATAAGTAAATTACATTTGAGGTAGATCAGAGATGTTTTGAGCTTGTTAAAATTGTTAACACATGCTTGCATTAGTTGGTGAACTAGGTCTAATGTCATGTTTTACTGTCATTTGAAAATCTAGATGTTATTCCGGGGTATTAAACATTCCCAATTCCTATATTTATGAAACAGAATGGGAAAGCAATTATTATAGTGTCATTGAATTCTGAAAAGTGATTTTTTTCCCCCCAGGGTCCTGGAATAGGAAATGCTTCTCTTTCTGCTTTTGGTTTTGTGGGAGCTGCACTTGAAATCATTTTGATTTTGTATCCTTTCTTTAACTAAACATTGTCAACAAATTTTCTGTTTAGTTTTCTGGGACAGTGGTAATTTACTAGGACACTTGCCTAGAAGAGAAAAACAAGTCAGTGTTTCTCAATCACGCCAAGTGGCTTTTTGTTTTGTTTTTCCTTTGGATCTTAAGAGTTTCTGGAGACTAGTGAGGACTTAAGGAAACTCACATTCTTTGGAGAGTTTTTCCTTGATTCTCACAGCTATCTTATGGTGTCCTCTGTTGTTGGTTTCTATAGCCTCCGATTTTTTGGAAACTTTATTCCCAAGAAGGATGACACAACTATGACAAAGGTAAGGTAAAGAGTTAGGTGGCTATGCTTCTCTTTTGCATTCCAAGGCAAATGAACTGTTTTATTTTGTAATCGCCCTGAATGGTTCATTTGTGCTGATAGGTATTTGTTTGTAAATTGCATAAACACAAACTGAAAGATTTTCAAAATGCTGAATGAGTGGGAAAAGGATGTGCTGCTCTGTTTAATTTGGATGACATCCATTCACTTGTAAATGCATAGAACTGCAGAGCTTGTTAACTAGCTACAGAAGGCTACTGAAAGGACTCTTTCTCCTCTAAAGAAAACGTATTGCTAATGAGTAACTTTGATTGTGCAAACTGTACTTCAGGAAGCTTGTTTGAAATCTGAAGAACTTAGCTGTTACAAGTAGTAGGGACAAAGTATTTCAAATTTGAATAATTAAAGCAAGAAGGAAGAGTTCTATTCAGAAACATTTTGTAGTTTGAGGCTAATTTGACTTCCTACAATGTGTCATTGGCTTTGGAATAACAAAGACTGTTACCTTATATAGTGACTGCTTCTTTTTAAAATATTCCCACAGGCTGACCATGAAGAATAAGTAATAAGAGCTGCTTTCTTTTCTTTTTTTAAATTATATATCACATATTTTCAGCCTATCTTAAAAGGAAAAAGTCATTTTATATATTTTATTTACCTATCTTTAAAATGCTATGACTTCTTAAGATACTTAGCATTTAGTTTAAGTGATCATCAGCATTAAACAGTATTTTCAACTTGTTTTATTTAATATAAAAGATTAAGCATAGGACACATTGGAAATGAATTATTAGAATTTAGGGGTTTTAGATTTCACCTTTTTGGTATTATATCTTCTAATAGTTGAATGTATTAGATGTAGTATTATATATCTTGAGCAGTAGTGTGGCTTTAAAAATATAGTCAGAAGTATTAAATGTATTCATTCTATTTTACTTGACAGGCAAACCTTTTTAAAGTTGGCACCCTCAATTAATAAAGTAAAATGTATTGTTTGTGGTGTAACTTAAGTGTTCTGTAACTTTATGCCAGCTACTGTAAATATCTTCAAGAACTTTATAGATGTAACTTCAAATATTTATAAAAAAATTTCTTGTTCTCTTTAAATTCTATATTGAGTAATATCATTAAGAAGCTAGCAAAGTACAGGACAATAGTACCAGGTAAGTAGAATGTACAGTAAGTTCCCAGAATGTGAATAGATTGATTGCATTTATCATCCTTTTCTCTGACTGCCCAATATTCTTTCTGATCTCTACACAGATCATTGGGAATTGTGTGTCCATCTTGGTCTTGAGCTCTGCACTGCCTGTAATGTCAAGAACACTGGGTAAGTTTACCAGAGAAATGTCCATTTTAAAAGCCCATACCTTGTTAACATTTCTTTCCTAAACTTCTGCCTTAACTTTTAGTTTCTGAACTTTTTAAAAAAAACAGCCTTTGAAATATAATATTTCCTTGCATATTGTTTTATAACTTCTGTATGTCTTTTATATAGAGAGCCATACCAAAACAAGTACTTTTATCAAATTAAGGCTATTTATTTTTAAATACTTAAAAATGTTCTTTCTCCAAACAATGGACAGATTTTCCCACTGATTGGTTAAGCTTTTGAGTTCTCTGGTGAGACAACTGTGGTATTAAAAAAATGTTTAAGGTCTAGAAAGTATTAAACTAATTTTTCTTATATGAAAATTAAAAAAATATATATATATAATTTAGTATGTAGTTTAAAAACTGAATATGTATAAAACATTTTAAGCTGCTTTGTGTCCATGAAATAGACTTGAAACAGTGAGGTCTTTGCGAGCATGTGCTGATTTCAAGGACAATCCTTTAGTTGTTTAATTTTTTACTTGCCTGTCATTTATATAGTTCTCTTAATTTTTCAATTTACAGGAACTTTGATCATCTTTAAAAGTAATACATTTCTACTTTGTCACTGAAATAGTTGAACAAATCTTCATTTGGACTTTTATCTTTTATAAAGCATGTTGCAGGCTGTGATTTCGCTTCTTGGCTAAATATTATTTCAGACAAAAGTTTCCGTTAGGCAGTTAGTTCTGTTTGGTTTTCTGGACGTAGGTTTCCACTTAAGAGTGTTCACAAATGATTAGAAGAATCTATCATTCAACCTCAGCAACTTGCTCATAACAAAAATTACTAGTCTCTTTGAGTTGCTTTTGTTTATCTCTTCTTTTGCCTCCGTTGTTGATTCAAGACTCCTGGCCAGCGGGGAGGCTGGCTGCAAGAGGGAAATAGAGGATTTACGGTTATCTGCGCAATGCTTACCGAGAATTTCATGTTTTAGTAAGAAGTGAAATCTAAGTATAAATGTAAGGGGACCATTATTCCACAGACTAATACAAAGCTTATTTACTTAGTGGTCTTCTTTTGTGTTTGCTTTATAGGACTTGTTATTGTTTTGACATCTGCTTATGGTGTGCTAATCTCGAAAATGCCAAAAGTATGCACGTTAGTAACTTCATTTATATCTAAAGTGGTATCGTTTGTATTATGACAGTCCAACAATAATTTCTGTGATATTATAGCCACGCTACCATTTAGTCATTTATAAAACTCATGTACTGTGATCTGTTATTTAAGATTAATTGTTAATAGTGATATATACTGATTTTATGGAAGAAAATTGCATGCTGGGAATACTTTTCATACAAAGAAAGCAAATTAATGGCAAAATTTGCTTTTTGAAGATCAACAAATTAAATTCCTGAGTAGTTTGCCATAGAGATAACTAAAAAGAAGAAAAAGAAAGATGGGACAATTAGAATGCAGCTAACAAACGCCTGGACCCAGCTGTCCAAACAGGATTAATGGAGCGCATTAGGGTACAGTGAGTCATGTGGCGCTTTGCAAAATATCAACACGCACTGCATTACAGGTTATGCCCAGTGGCACTGAATAGATGAAAAGAAGTAAATACGTTAAACAGATTCATGGAGGCTTTTCACAGTATTAAAAAAGCAAATTTCTGGACTAAAAGAAGCAGCTTTATTTTAGTATTATGGGAAATGCAAACTAGAGAGTTACTTTGTAATTCCTCTATTAACCCTTTAGGACTGAGCCTTTGATTTTTAAGAAGATAAAATGTGGAGAATTGTCATGAATGTTATCCTGGTGTATAACAGGGTTTTGATTTACCAGCTGAAAAGCTCATAAGCCTAGAATAGAGGATGCGTTTCACAACCAGATTCCAAGCTGTGAAAGTTTTCACTCTTTCTCGTTGTCTCTCCCAAGGAAAGCCTGACCCTTCATCTGCTCCTGGGAATTGCACCAGTAGCACCCCATCACTTACAGTGCAATAAGAAATGAAATAGCAAGGAAAACCCAGCATTACCTCTATATGAGCAGCTTTTCTTGTATTTCAACAATTTATCAGTGATAGTTTTTACTTTGATTGTAAATTGAAAATACATTGAATCCTGTATAAAATAATTAATATGGTGATATTTTTGCTTCAAAAATGAAAGTGTTCTATGAGTTTTTTGGTTTTTGGTTTTTTAATTTGCTAGCTGGTGGTGCTGGTGGACCAGATGATGCATCATTAAACTCTAGCTTTAGACTTCAGTGCTTAGTGTGAGAGGACAGTCATTAAAGAATTCCTTTGATCAGCTTCTTATATTTGAATACAGAAAGCTTTATACTAATTGGAAAATTGCCACAGAGTAAATTTTATAAGCATATCACTTGACAACTGGGAATTAAGTTATGAGGAAGATTTTCAGCATGTTTTCAGTTAAATGTAATTAATATAAATGATGTTTTTGTTGTCAGTAGGAAACACAAGGAATCTGAGTATAACATTTCTTATTCGAACTCATTAAGGCAGTAATGTCAGTGTCCACGCATGTGATTTCCAAAACACTGTTTTGCTGCCTATTTATACTTGAGGTTTGAAGAATCATTTTGGGGGATCTGATGTCCATATGTGCAGTAAACAGTTTACTGTTTGGTTTGACCCTGACTAGAGGAGGTGGCTGGCGAACAAGGTGAACATGAAACCAGACCAAGCCTGAGGAACTCTCTGCATATGGCCAAACTTTTCTGCAATAAAATATTTTAAAGGCAGAAATGAATTCTGTAAGAACAGATTTTGTAGGATTGCTGACATGCTCTTGACTATGCTTAATCAAGAAACTACTGAGAGATCAACATTTTTTCAAATTGTTACTTTCCATCTCCTTTAACCGGGAAATTTTTTCCCAAATGCAACCAACAGACGTTGTAGTACTGTTACTAATTTCTATTTTAAAATTATTTTTATAATAATTTGGAAGGAATAAGCCTGGGTGGCTGAGCCTGGGTGGCTCAGTCGATTTAGTGTCTGCTTTCAGCTCAGGTCATGATCCCAGGGTCTTGGGATTGAGCTCCTCCTTACTCTGTTATCTGTGCAATGCCAAATGCTTATCTGTGCAACTCCCCCTGCCGCAGCAGGGAGTCTGCTTCTCCCTCTCCCTCTGCTGCTCCCCCTGTTTGTGCTCCCACTTGCTCCCTCTGTCAAATAAATAAGTAAAGTCTTAAATAAATAATTTTTATAGTTATTCTGTTATCCTGAAGCTCTTTCTGTAACTTGTAAAACTATACAAAACCCAAATGCAGACTTTTAAAAGAAAATGTGCTTGTAATATTAAAACAAGAATATTTACCCCTTTGAATCACCTTGAATTTTTTTTTAGTATTTCTCATCTGGGTCCCATCTAGTCCCTAATCTTGCAGGAGATGAAGGGAATCTGTTTAAAAATTGGTTCACCTTGGAGAGGTCTTTTTTGGGGGTTTCATACATACACTGTTAATTTTTACCTTGGGCCGTTTCTTTCCAATTCTCGGTGTAAAACAAAAGTAAATGATAGTTAGAAATGAGAAGTGCAAAATAGGATTATGCATCGTAATATGTATTCCTAACTATGACTTTGATGTAAAAATAATCTTAAATTCCCTCTTGAAAAATTGTCAGCAAAAATTTGTATATAACTTACTTATATCCAGTTATGTTGCAGAGAGAATGGCACTAATTGATTTTTGGTTGATTAGTATTATTCTTATATCTGAAGAGTAAATTTTATATATCTAGTTTGTGATAATAAAGATAATGTATTCTGTGTCAGATACCTAAAAGAGTTAAAAGACTAATGCCCAGTCCCTAAATGCTCTTATTCCCAGTATCTTATATTCTTCTGATGCTACTCTTGTTTCAGGGAACATAGTCATGTTGGCCATACTTACCTAAATAATTTAACTGTCTGTTGACGTACATTCGAATATTTTAAATTTTAGTTTGTTATAAAATATTTTTATATGAAAATAATTATACTTAGGATAATTTAGTTAGAAAGAGGATTAAGATGTAATCTTTAAAATGTTGCCATTAAAACCAGTTAGTAAGCTATAATAAGGGTCTACTTTGTACTAAGAAGAAAGGCCTCTAGCCTGGCTGAGAATACTTCATAGCACACCTGCACAGTCAGTTCTGAGACCAGTGAATATATTATCTCCTTATTTGTAAGAGATTATATTTTAAAATTAATTTTAATTAATTATATAAGTATAGACGTGAATAGATTCTAAATTATAAAGAATACTAAAATTAGAGATCAGGCTACAATTCTTTGTGACCACCAGTTTTACTCCCAGGTCCCTCTGCATAGTGTCCAGGTCTTCAGGTCTTCTTCCATGCATATGTAGACATACGTGGTACCTCTGCAGGAAATGTGAAATCCTCACCTGGGGGTTACCTGGATGCTGACTCTGGTCATCACTCTTATTCCTTCCATTGACTCCTGACCTCAGTGTGTCATCCAGTAGGAGTTGAAATCATTTCCTCTATTGGAACTCAGTTATCTGAAAATGAATTTCAGACCCTAAACAATTATCTCATTCTGTTCGGATCACCAGTGACCTCTTAATTATTCGATCTTGTGGATTCTGTTGTCTTATCTCCATAGCATTTGCTGTTTATAATCCCACTTCCCATATCACTTCTTTCTTTATTTCTGGTCCTCATTTCCCTATTTCTTTCTTCTCTTTTTGGCCATTCCTCAGCTATCTCTTTTGTGCTCTCAGCCATACCCATACACTTGTCCCCAAACCCAAACCTCCCACCCAGAACTTACCCTTGAGCAAATAACAAATAATCCTAACTCTGTACTCCATTTGGGTGCCAGCCCACACTGGCCATTTCTACAGCAGGATCCACACTTGAGTGTGTCTCTCTCTCTGTTCCTTCCTCCCTTTCTCCTATTTCCCCTCAGCCACTTTCTAATAGGCCAAAGCAGAAACCTGAGAGTTACATTAGATGCTTCTAGTTCTTCA